TACCTCGTACTATGAATTTTTTAAGTAACAAAATCTTTGTTAGCAGCCGGATATATTTTTCTTTGCATTTTTCAATTAGTTCATTATATGCAGAGCATTGCGCATGTTCCTGTTTGCATACGCTTCTATTTTGTTGTTCACACGACACTCGTGTAACTTGTAAATATTTATAAATTCCTCCCAAAATTCTTCATCTATTTCCATTTCGTCGAACTGTCTGTTTATTTTCTATAAATGTCACTCGGAATCTTGGCTCGCCAATTGAACCGTGATTCGAATTCTTGCATCAGGATCACTTGAAAATGAAAGGGAGACTTTGTTTAGGCTGGCCACAATCGAATTCGATTTTTTCTCCAAGTTGCCTAGAACGGACTAGACTTCATCGTTACATTGTCCATCAATTGTATAATATATCATTTATTACTCTATATTACAATAACATTTAATTCAGTTGTTTAAATTAATTTCATTTCAATTTTACACAAATTGTAAAGAAATTGTTATAATTAATCTTCTTGTAGTAAAAATTTCCTATTACAAACGAAACGTTTATTTAATTGTATTATCAATAGACTCCATTCTATTTTAAGAATAAGACAACAATCCAAAATGGACTTTCTTTGTCCAATTAATGGCAGAAGTCTATTCCTGCATCAGTGATTCTTTGCTTCTCAGTGGTGCTTGCTAGTTCACCTGAGTGCAAAGGGTTATTTATTACTCTATATTACAATAACATTTAATTCAGTTGTTTAAATTAATTTCATTTCAATTTTACACAAATTGTAAAGAAATTGTTATAATTAATCTTCTTGTAGTAAAAATTTCCTATTACAAACGAAACGTTTATTTAATTGTATTATCAATAGACTCCATTCTATTTTAAGAATAAGACAACAATCCGAAATGGACTTTCTTTGTCCAATTAATGGCAGAAGTCTATTCCTGCATCAATGATTCTTTGCTTCTCAGTGGTGCTTGCTAGTTCACCTGAGTGCAAAGGGTTATTTATTACTCTATATTACAATAACATTTAATTCAGTTGTTTAAATTAATTTCATTTCAATTTTACACAAATTGTAAAGAAATTGTTATAATTAATCTTCTTGTAGTAAAAATTTCCTATTACAAACGAAACGTTTATTTAATTGTATCATCAATAGACTCCATTCTATTTCAACAATCCGAAATGGACTTTCTTTGTCCAATTAATGGCAGAAGTCTATTCC